TTACAAGCCTAAGTTTTGCACTAACCACATTCTGTCCTATACATACTTTTCGTGTTCCCACCTGGAATAAACCTAACAATTCCCATTTTACAGCTGTAGAAACTGAGGCTTAGAGATGTTAAATAATGTTCCCGGGCAGTCGCAACTTAGATTTTAAGGTTCATTTTCTTCATTCATTCATTCTTTTAATATCCACTACGCTCTAGCCACGAGGAGACATAACAATCCAAAAAGGGCCACTGAAATAAGTCAGAGAGTTTATCAGCCAGCGTTTGTACAGAGAAGCAGAATCACCAATATGAAAGAGGTGATTTATTATAGAAATGAGAGCTTATGTACTTGTGGGAACTGGTGAAGAATTCTATGGAAGGGTATTGACCTTGCATCTCGTGTGGGCCTGGAATGGCTGTGGGCCTGCATGGGCAGCAGTGGGGAGGAAAAGCTGGAGGCCAAGTGGGGGAGAACAAGCACAAACCACTCTGGGGGAACAAATTAGAACCCATGTCTACTCTCGCCCCTCCAGCCTAATGACCCACATGACCTGTACAGGAAGCTGGTGCCCTTCGGCACGGAGCTGCAAATGTAGCTGGTCCAGGACTCGGAGGAGGAACGTGGTAGAAGCTGAAAGAACTGCAAGTCTGGCTGCTGCACCACACTAACAAACTGAGACAGCAGGTAAGTGACAACGTTGCAATAGCACCTAATTTTGGCAGCATTACACAAAATTATCTACAACTTAGAAGTAAGGCAAAGGATGACTATGTGTCTTTTCAAGTTCATACTAGATGGAGCCTTGTCCTATCGACTCACTGAAAGATTATTTAATTTCCTAGGTTCTAGAATCGAGAATAAACCTTTGTTATCTATTTACAATTGTTTAGGGCCCAGACCCTGGGGCGTTACATGGCCCCTTGAACATTTTCGCCTTGCAGAGATGCAAATGTTCCCTTGTCCTGTAAGAAATGTAACCCTGTAAGGAGTTCAGCTGAGCTTGGAGAGAGCTGAGCTGCTAAGTGTCAGAATAGCCAATTACAACAAGCAAAGCCTTTCATCATTTACCGCAATGGTATAAGCAAGTGGCTAAAACCAGAGGAAGCACTGACTCTCCCTGCTCCAACCTTTGGCCATGGACGAGCTCACCAGTCGAGGGCGAGGTGAGTCAACACAGACATCACCTGACTGTTCAGGATGCCCCCAGCAAAAGGCTCTGGCAGTTTTATGGATTCGGGGGAGGAGGAGGAATAGGAATGGAAAAGCCCTGGGTGCTGAGTCAGAGCGGGGAAGAGCATCTTCTGGGTTTTCTGCCTCCTCCCCTATAAGGAGGTCTGAAGAGGACCTCTGCCCAAAGTCTCCGATAGAGACACCTAGGAATGAAGGCGCTGTTGGGGCTAGGACTGCAAATATGTGAAAGAGCAAAGGGTAGTTTTAGTGTATCTATAAGTTTGAAATGTTATTTCAGCATCCTGTTTTTTACTGGTTATAGATTTCTTGTATTTTCCTTTGAACTAGATTTACCATGCGTTGGTTTCTTCGCTGGGGTAAATAAATCTTTGTCACATGCTTACTATATATTTGTGAGGCATGTTTTTACCTTTGCATGATCAGACTGTGGCGGTAGCAGTGTTGAGGATGGGATGGAGTGGACAGTGAGAAGCGAGGCTCGGGGTCCTTAGAAGGCTATTTCAGGAATCCCGGGGAGGCCACGTGAGGGCTTAGCAGGGAGAAAGGCAAAGAGGGGTGGGGACGGGGAGACACTGAGGCAGGGCAACCTGGTATTGGTAAGTGTGGGAAACATGCAGGAGAAATGAGGTGGGGCGCTTGCGTGGGTGGCAGGAGAGTAGGAGCCTATCGAGGCGCCTGGCTCAGAACACTATCCCCTGCAGGCCCAAGTCTTCCTCTGCTGTGCTTATCTTGTGCTTACCATTAGCATTTGGGAAACTGGACAACGCTTAGAATTTACCCAGTTCTAGAACTGGGCAACAATTGTTACCAAATGTCTTTATACCTTCTAATGCGAAAAACATTCAGCATTACAGTCAGACAAAAAAGAGCTCAGGCCCTTTTCTTAAAAAAAAAAAAAAAAAAGGAAGGGGAAGGGAGGCCATAGAAAATAAAACATAGCAACAGGAGAAAAACACCCTAGGCTGAAACTTCTCTTAATTGTAGAGATAGCACACCAAGAGACTTAATCCTAGCCCACGTCTCCTCCTGGCTCCTTAATGGTGGATGGCCACTTCCTCCTGGGACCCAACAAGAGTGAGCTCAGCAAATGCAAGCTCTTTTAGTTGTTGAGACAACAAATCATTTTAGGAAAGGAGGTCCACAAGTTAAAAAAAAAAAAAAAAAAAAAACAGGTCACATTATAAATTTCAAAGCCAAAAGACAGAATGGTAAATTAGATTGTAAATTTGCCGAGGACAGGAACCGTCTTACGCATTTAGGTGCAGGACCCAGTGATTGGTTTGGCACTATTCACCTAGGACTCAGCCTCTTCCATTTCCGAGTTTCCATCCAGCACAACCTTCAGCTCTAGCCACTAGGCTGTAATGTTTTTGCTTTGCCCTCTTCTGATGGTGAAGGAGATGTCCTGCTATTCTTATCAAAAATTGGGCACTTGTCCTCGAGGCGCCATCAGAAGAATGACAACAAATGGTTTGAGGAGAAGGAAAGAGAAGTTTATTACTTTGCCAGCAAAAGAGGAAAAACGGTAGACCTTGTCATCTCAAAATCCAAATTTCCTGAACACAAGCAGAAATACAGAACTTTTAAAGGGAGGGCCCCTCAGTTCTAGGCTCTTGTGGTTAACTATTTTAATCTTTGCATCTCTGCCAAATACAAAGCCCCACTTGGGCCCACTTAGGGGGCTGGGATGCAAGAACAAAAGGCCTCTCCCTGCTCCTCCCAACCACTGGCCTGAGGCAGGGATGCTGGTTTCATTTCTCGAAAACAGTGGAGGAAGTTTAAAGAGACAGAAAAAACTTTCATGCCATTCCCAACAGGAACACATTCCCCACTCTCAATTTTATGCTTCCATATCCATGGGAGGAGGGGGGATTAGGATGAAGGCCCAGCTAAGAAGTCAGTGTTACAGGTGGTTTTTTACTTTTTATTTTGGAATTTCAAGTTTATAGAAAGTGTCACAAAAATAGTACAGAGAGTTCCTACATACTCTTCACCCAGCTTCCTCTGATGTTAATCTTAGGTAACCATGGTATGGTTGTCAAAAAGATGTTAACCTTGGTACAATCCTATCATTAAACTACAGATCACCATTTCTCCTAATGTCCTTTTTCAGTTCCGGGATCCAATCTAGGATACCACATTGCAGTTAGAGGGGTCATTGTTTTTATTTATACCTACCCACCCGGGGTTTGCACAGATTAGATGTAAAAGGGGTTTGTAAACTGAAGATCTATGTAAACATGACCAGCATTTCTTTATTCATTGTTGTTCTGGTTAATGATGAAACTTACTGAGGCGTCCCTCACTGAGCTGCAGGATGTTAGTAGATTAAGACTTCATTATTAAAACTACTTTAAAACAATAGCTGTGTACTTTCATGTTAATCCTTACAATAATTATATTATGCTTGTCAATGAGACTCATGGAAGTTACCCAACTTGCTCAAGAATATACTTTTAGACCTTTTTAGGCCCTCCCAAGATTGGGTTAAGTGCCTTTTTATGTGCTGCCCCATCATAGCACTTACTATACAGTCCTGTTAGACTAGAAGCTGCAGGTGCTAGGAACTTCATTTTCACTGATCGATCCTTCCTATCAGCAGTCAGGCATATAGAATATATTCCAAAAAATGGATCGATGAATGAATGAATGAAGGCTAATCCTATATCTAATGCCGAAATCAGAAAACTTTTGTTTCCTTGTAACTTATTGTCCATTGTTTGTCTTCCCCTACCAGAAGGTAAGATCTATGGAGTACAGACAGTTGTGTTTTGCTCCTTGCTGAATCCTCAATGCCTGGAACTGGCATGGTAAGAAACTGGCACATTGTAAGTGTCAATAATATCCATTGAATGACTATGTGGAAAAGTAGGCTTCTTCCTTTGGCCAACATCACCCTGTCTTTTTGTGACATCAGTGTATTTTTTCCTGATGCTGATTTCGGTACAATAAAGCTCAAGAACAACCACAACACCGTGACATGGGTGAGTGGGGAGTGCTGAACACTCTGGCTTCCTGAGTTACACATTCACTTGCAGCTCGGTGGTGATCAGAAGGGGAACCACAGGAACACTATCTCCAAGAGCACTGCCTGCGGGAAGGAGGCACTGGTGGCCGGCACAGGTGGCCTGTGGACTCCACACTCCGCAGCTTTGGTCTACCACCAGGAAATCATGACTCCAGACCACCGTGCTCTTGAGTTCCACGTCACACTCACCTCCCCTTCACCAGAGTGCAACTCTTGGAGCAGCAGTAGGAAGCAACCTGCTTGTAATAATCATGAGCTGCATTTTCTTAGGAGTCAAGTGCCTCCTGCCAGAACCCTTCTATTTCAAATCTATTTATTTTTAGTCTTTAATTGGTGACAAGGCAGCAATCACAGTCACATTAAGGAAAACTAGAATACAGAAAAAAACCCATCATCCCAACACAAGTATGTTTGGAATTTTGTATTTCCTTCCCCTGAAAGTATGTTATATATACCGATTTAACTAGTTTGTGTTCTGCTTTTTTCATTTAACGTTGTATTGTGCTTATAACATAAGAATCTTTCTGTGCTATTGCACTTCATAACCATCTATTTAAATGCATGGTCATACATTTAAGGATTTTCAAATATATTATTCATTTCCATGTCAGATATGCCAGGAAGAGTCACCCAAAGAGTTTGAAAAACAAAAACTCAAGGCACTTAATATCATTAAGACCCTGTTAAATGTCAAGATTACAAAACAAAGATTCACTAAAGTTATACAGATGACAAGCACATGAAAAAATGGTCAACATCATTAGTTACCAGGGTCCAATCACAGCTCACTGCTGCCTTAAGCATTCCTCCCACCTCAGCTTCCTGAGTGGCTGGGACTACACGCTGCAGCCACCGCGGCCTGCTGCTTCAGTAACCTCTTTGGGCTCCTCCTCTTTACCTTCCTTTTTCTGCTTCTCCGCTGCTTTCTGTTCTTTTGCCTCAAGTCGATAATTGATGCCCATGCCAATGAAGAGATAGATACCTGAAATAATTAGGATTATGCCACTTGCCCAGTATGTGTATTTGTAGTCTCCATACATGTCATTGAGATGACCTAAACACATTAAAAACAAAAAAGTTACATGGGTAAGAGTAAACAAGGATACCATTTCCCAAACAAAACCTAAGGAGCCACTCAGAGAGAAGACGTCAATCCAATCTTCAAAAAGTCCACAAATGACAAATGAATATAAAAAGGAATTGTTAAAAATTATCTGATCTTTTGTTTATAATGTCACACTAATTTTCAGCATCCTTGAGTATTGTGTTATTTTTAGCAATTTAAAAATAATTAACCCTTGGCAAATTTGAATTGGAAAAGACATAAGGATCACCTAGAATCAATACACTATGGAAAAAACTGCTGCTAAAAGAGGTTTAGGAGTCTTGTCCAAGGCCGCAGAGCTGTTCCAGTTACCTAGGCCAATGCTCTTTCTCTATCAGCATTTCCCAAAGAGTGTTCCTGAAAACGTTTGTCCTATGCTAAAAATTTAACTAACAGCAATAAATACCTTACCACTATTCTAAGTGCTTAATGCTAAAAACAGGCAGATTCTATCATCATCCGCATTGTATAGATGTAAAAGTTGAAATACAGAGACGTTAAGTAATTTGTCCAAGGTCACAAAGCTAGTCAGTAAAATACCTTGGCTTTAAATCCAGGAAGTCTGACTGTGAAGTCTGCATCCTTAACCTACTGTGCTACAGGTTACTTCTCTAGTGGTTCAAAAGTCAAATGAATTTGGAAAATGGTACATTATTTTTTCGTAAAGGCTTTGTGACGTCTGGTAGTAAAGAAACCTATTTAACATGATACTTCCAAACTTTGTTTTGACCATGAAACTCTTGTTACAGTAAAATTTATTAGCATCTCATTAAACTAGTATCTCCTAGAATAAACTTTAGAAAACCCTACTCTACACTTATATAGGACTTAATATAACCAATTCAAATATAATTCCATATGGCTCTCTAGCCCAGGGCATCATCCATTCAGCAATATTTATTGAGCCTCTATCACATACCAGGCACTAGCTGTGCTACACCCTGACGATAAGGATGAGCAGGAGAGATAACATCCACAGTTCAGTGGAGAAGAGAGATATTAATCAAATATTATAACTACACAAACTGTGAAAGTGCTACAAGGAGGGGTTTTTTTTTTTTGAGCATATTATGGGGATACAGATGTTTAGGTTATGTATGTTGCCCTTGTCCCCTCTCCCCCTACAAGGAGGGTTTTGAAAGCTAGCAATACATGGTTGGGACCAGCAAGTGGGGTCAGGAAGACTTCCCTTAAAGTGTCAACTATGCTGAAACTTGCAGGAGGATAGGAGTTATCTAGGAGAAAGAGGATGGGAAGAGGATCCAGACAGAATAGCAAGTGCAAAGGCACAGTGGTAGGAGGAGGCACAGTGTGAGAGGGGAAGTAAGAAGGGCCAGGTTGCTGAAGCAGAGAGAGCAAAAGGCCAGTGGAAGGAAACGAGGCTGGGAGACAGGTGGGGCCAGGCCATGCAGTGCCTTGCAAGCCACATTAGGGAATTTGATCTTCACTCTAAGAGCAATGGGGAGCAACTGGAGAGTTTTAAGAAATCTCTAAGTGCTCTGAATTGGAGACTTCAAAGAGATTGAAGAACAGCTAGAGTGGATACAGGTAGACCAGTTAGGACCAACCCAAACAGGAGACAGGAGCTTTGGATAACGGTGGTAGTTATAATGGAGAAAAATGGGCAGATTAGAAAAAGATTGACAGGACTTGGCAACTCACTGGGTACAAGGAGTAGTTGGGAGGAGAAGTTTTGAAAAGTCAGTAGTGGATCTTCCTTACTTTATAATGCATAATCTCAAAAGCATGAATCACATCCAGAGGAGGGACAGATTATTGTTGTAGTTTGTATAATATATTTTTTTTGATACAGGGTTTTTCTCTGCTGCCCAGGCTAGAGTGCTCTGCTGCCCAGGCACAATGATAGCTCACCACAACCACAAACTCCTGGGCTCAAGTAATCCTCCTGCCTCAGCCTCCCAAGTAGCTGAGACTACAGGTGCGTGCCACCATGCTTGGCCAACTTTTTGTTTTTTGTAGCGATGGGGTCTTGCCATGTTGCTCAGGCTGAATAATTTCTAAATATAGAGAATGTGGTATTCTTAGAACATAATCCATCAAGTTTTATGGTTAGTTACTAGCAGTGTGATCTTGGGCAAGTTATTTCACTTTTAGAAGCCTCTATTTCTTCATTTATAAAGTGGGACAATAACAGTCCTACCTTGTAGACTTGTGAGATATGACAGGATATATAAAATGGTTAGAACAGTCTCTGGTATACTGGGAGCCCTTCACCTGAGAGCTATTGTTATTAATAATATTTTAAATATTACTACTGAGATAAGTTCCATGATTAAAATGAGGCCAGGCGCAGTGGCTCACACCTGTAATCCTAGTACTCTGGGAGGCTGAGGCAGGAGGATCTCTTGAGGTCTGGAGTTTGAAACCAGACTGAGCAAGAGCGAGACACTGTCTCTACTAAAAATTTAGCCCGGCGTGGTGGCACGCGCCTGTAGTCCCAGCTACTCAGGAGGCTGAGGTAGGAGGACCACTTGAGCCCAGGAGTTTGAGGTTGTTGTGAGCTAGGCTGATGCCACGGCACTCTAGCCAGGGCAACAGAACAAGACTGTCTCAAAGAAAAAAAGAAAAAATGAAATCACCACTAGTACTTTAAAGGCAGAGTTGTACATTAAACATTTTTCTACAATAACCATGTTATTTTTATGATCAGAAAAAATTATCTTAAGAAATACTGATGTTTGCAATAGTTTGGATTCCCCTTTCAGCTTGATGGTTCAATTCCATTCAGTTCTGTAGGTATTTGAACAATTATGCTGTGCCAGCACCGAGGGTACAGAAATGAGAAAGACTTGCTGTTTGCCAAACTGTTCACTAATCTCTGCTTTCTATCACCTTCCCAATCTCGTATGTCTGTTTTATGATAACAGAGCCACAGAGGTAGCGAGACATACTATACCTAAAAGCGGTGGCCCCAGGAGGACAGGACAGCATTCCACAATGGTCACCAATCCCACAGCGCTGGAGAATCTCTGAGGTCCGACGAGGTCCATCAGTGTTTCAAACAATACGGAGCCAAACCACCCAAAGGCAAATCCAAGGAATCCCGCATAGACACAGAACCCAATGTAGCTGGTGGCTAAAGGTAGTAGCATATGACACACTCCATTTGCAATAACAGAAGCAGCAAAGAAATACTGAATTCCAGGTCTTATCCACTTTGTGTTGGCTACAAGTCCCATAGAAGGTCTGGCTATAATATCCACAAAAGACATAACAGAAAGCAGGAAGGCAGCTTTCTCACTAGTGTAATGCTGACTCTTGGCATAACTACTAAGAAAGATTAAAGGTGCAGCCAGTCCGAATAACAGTATCACATTACCAGAGAGGTACAGTACAAAGCCTCTGTGAGTGAACAGGGATAAGTCCAGAAACTTGTTAACTATTTGGAAAACAGATTCTTTCTCCTCTTTCGGGTTTCCTCCATTAAATTCTGCAATTGCATCACCTGCACCTGTTTTTGCATTAGATTTTCCAGTTTCCTGAAGGGATTCTTTACATCTATCTTTCTCTGTGTTGTTTGGCTTGGGCCCTATTGGTCGCATCAGGGCTCCAGCTACACAGCAGTTTAGTAAGCAGCCTCCAAGAATCAGGAAGCTTCCTCTAGAGCCAAACATATCAAAGAGAGCCTGATTGAGGGGGGCCAGGGTAGAGAGGAACACAGGGCTTCCTGCCATGGCCAGTCCATTTGCCAATGGTCGCTTCTTGTAGAAATACTTGCCAATCATGGTCAGAGCCGGGTTCAAGTTGAAGGCAAGCCCAAGACCTGGGAGGGAGGGAAAAAAACTACATACTATAATAAATTTCAGAAACATATTTTTTATTAACTAGACAAACTGAATGGAATGAGTTCAAAAGTATCATCATTAGGAGAGATGCCATTATAATTAGTAGATCATTAGGTGGACAAATAAATACTCATAGACGTAAGTCTAGGTAGCAAATACCTGATTTATAATACAACATTAAAATAATTCTTTTCACACTAGCAACTAAACAATAATAAATGTAAGATCCTATATTTAGTTTCATAGTATTAGCTATTCTGAGGAACACGAAATTGAAAACAAAAAGGAGAAAAAATAAATCTTGTGAGTTCAGAAAGCAAGACAGTGAGTAAGCCAAAGTATTTCTGGATGGTAAAAACACAACATTGTCAAACATGCCAATAGTGCCCTAGTAAATCCATTAATTTAATGCAATTTCTTTTCTTTTCTTTTCTTTCTTTCTTTCCTTTTCTTTTCTTCCTTCCTTCCTCCTTTCCTTCTCTTTCCTTCTTTCTTCCTTCCTTCCTTCCTTCCCTCTCTCTCTCTCTGTTGCCTGGGCCATAGTACAGCATGCATCATCATAGCTCACTGCAACCTCAAATTACTAGGCTCAAGTGAGCCTCCTGCATCAGCCTCCTGAGAAGCTGGAAATACAGGCGCTCACCACCACACCCGGCTAATTTTTGTATTTTTTGCAGAGACAGGGGTCTCACTATGTTGCTCAGGCTGGATTTGAACTCCTGGCCTCAAGCAATCCTCCCACTTCAGCCTCCCAGAGTGCTAGTATTACAACTATGAGCCACTATGCCCAGCCAATTTAATGCAATTTCTATGAAATTGTCAATGTTTTTATTTTTGAAATGAGGTAAAATGACTATAAAATACACCTGGAGAACAAATACAATAGAAATATTTGAAAGGGAATACTTAAAGGGTGGGACCAACTCTAATAGATATATAAATACATTGCACAGCTACAATAATTAGAACAATGTGGCATTTATTCAAAAATAGAAAAACTGATCAATGAACGTGGGCAGAAAGTCCAGCAACAGAACCAAAAGATACATTTAAGTTAGTAGGAAAAGTATGGATTTTTCAGTCAATGGGGCTCGGACAAGTAATTATCTCAATAAAGCCCCAAGTGGTGTCCATTCTTGCTCCCCTCCTTGGGAAACCAGATTAGGATGCTCCCATTTCGATCTTTCCAATAACTGCCCCTCCATAACTTTTCACCCTGGGCTAGAAAGCCGATGATTTATTTGGCCCTTATTTACCTTTGTGCTCTCATCTCAGTCTATTCTCACATGTGCTAAGCACTTTATTGCCTTTACACTAGCTGCTCCCCTAGATTTCCACAAAGGCTGCTCTGAGCTGTTATTCAGATCTCAGCTCAAAGTTACCAGCTCAGAGAGGCCTTTCCTTTAGGGACTATCAATCCTTCTCCACCAAAACTCTGTTTTAAGTTTTTACAAAGCATTTATTATTACCTGGTATTTTTCTTATTTATTCATTTATTCATTGGTCTGTTTAAAGAGCAGGAATCTTGCCTATCATGTGGACTCTAGCCTCACGGTGCTGGGAACATGACTGGGACCGTGTCTGGCATAGAGTAGGAACTCAACAAATATTTGTTGGATGATCTAATAAATCAAATAATGAACAGGCTGAATAACCATGTGGGAACAAATAAAGTTATGTTCCTTCCTTCTTATGTTATTAAAATATTCTAGATGAATTAAAATATTTAAATGTTTAAAAACATAATTAATGTAGTAAAAATATAGATTCAAAAATATAATACCTGTTATCAGCATTGGCACATATCCTGCAGATGAGACTGTAAACTATTATAACCTTTCTAAAAGAGTAATTTGGCTAATCACATCAAAAACCTTTTCCCCCCATAACTGCACTTCTAAAAATTCATCCGGAGGAAATAATCATTTTCGCAAAGATGGACAGAGTAGCACTATCATACAAATACTGTTTATCAATAGTAAAAAATACAAACAATTTAAAAGTCCATCAACTAGAGAATAGTGAAATGAATTATGGGTTGATCCAGCGGAAAAAATAGCTGTTAAAGTATATTTACTGAGATAGGGAACTATGCATGATGCCTTAAGTTAAAAACCCTAATTACAAACATTATCCATAATCTCATCTTTCTCTTCTAAAATAATTATGTGTATGTGCATAGAAAAACATGTGAGTGGAGATAGCATAAAAATATTAATGGTGGTTTTCTTCGAATTACAGAGCTAATGGTGATCTATGTTCTTTATACTCATTAGCAGTATCATTTTCTTAATTTTGCTATTAAAAGGGGGAAGGAGAGTTCTCATGTCTGCCCTTTACCCTTTGAAAATGTATTTGGCTTCTCTGCCAGAAGATTCCTGCTTTGTATCTGATGTTCTTGCCTACTCCAATTTCTTCTTGGGTGAACGGGTTTGTTATGAATGGGAACAACTGACAACTACCCTTTCAACATCTTGCCACGTATCCTTTATCTATTACCATCACTGTTTTTAGTTTTCTTAAGACCAAAGAAAGAGGCTGGGCGCGGTGGCTCACGCCTATAATCCTAGCACTTTGGGAGGCCGAGGCTGGCGGATTGTTTGAGCTCAGGAGTTCGAGACCAGTCTGAGCAAGAGCGAGACACCGTCTCTACTAAACATAGAAAGAAATTAATCGGACAACTAAAAATATATAGAAAAAAATTAGCCGGGCATGGTGGCACATGCCTGTAGTCCCAGCTACTCGGGAGGCTGAGGCAGTAGGATCACTTGAGCCCAGGAATTTGAGGTTGCTGTGAGCTAGGACGACGCCACGGCACTCTAGCCCAGGCAACACAGTGAGACTCTGCCTCAAAAAAAAAAAAAAAAAAGACCAACGAAAGAAAAGAAAGTCTTTCTTTCAACTTATTCATTCAACAAACAATAATCAGTTTTTTTTCTTTAAGGCTAGTCAAGTGAAGCAGTAAGAGTGAAGAAGAGACAAGGAAATCTGTAACTGGTTGTGATCAATTAGTTGTAAATATCACTGCACTCAGACCAGCCCCATAATCACTGATTAAGTTCCAGAACTTTCTTTAAAAGCTTGCTGTTGCTGGGTGTGGTGGCTCACGCCTAGAATCTTAGCACTCTGGGAGGCTGAGGCAGGAGGATCACTTGAGCTCAGGAGTTCAAGACCAGCCTGAGCAAGAGCAAGACCCCATTTCTACTAAAAATAAAAAATCAGCAGGTCATGGTAGCACGCCTGTAGTCATAGCTACTTGGGAGGCTGAGGCAGGAGGATCACTTGAGCCCAGGACTTTGAGGTTGTAGTGAGCTATGATGCAGTCATAGCCGGGGCAACAGAGTAAGACTCTGTCCAAAAAAAAAAAAAAAAAAAAAGCTTGCCTTTCTAGTACTCTTAAATTAACATATCTACAGCTCTTAAAAATAACAATACAATACCTTTCTAATGAAGAAATTTAATTTCTCAAAAGACTTGGCAGATGACTGCTATAAATATTCCACAAAAAAATTAACACTTGAAATTGTATCACTAGCAACTCACCTCCAACGACTCCAATACACAAGTAAAGCTCCTGTATAGTGTTACAGAAAGAAGCCACAATCAAGCCACAGCCTGACAAGCAGCCACCAACAATTATGACTGGACGACTGCCATATTTATTCACCAGGATACTGCTGATAGGACCTAGGAGAGAACAAACAACTTAGTAATACAGAGCAGAAGCCTACTCCTCACACCCATACCCCTCATTACTGACAAGAAAGGGTGTCAAGACAAAAATCCCCCAACCCCCAAAATAAACAGATGAAGCAAAAGGCAGTAGTAAGGAATGTTGCTTTCTATCATTTCAGAGTCATAAGTTTATGTAATGGAAAAAAACAGCATTGAGTTTACATGTATACATCTGGAACATACTGGATGGATTTTAACTAAAGTATAAAAGATCTTTATCTTTTTTAAGACAGACCAGGCTACAAATGCTCTGATTATAAGTGTTTCTAGGGTTCTTCATGTATTTAGAATATTAGCAACATAAGTGCAGCAAGTTTGCTCTGTTTTACATTTTTCAGATGGGCATCTGGAGTGGAGACCCATGAATATGACAAGATGTATGAACAAATCTGATCAAACTTCTGACATAAGAACATATTTACAAACTAGCTTAAGTGTGTTTTGTTTCTCATAAAAGACAACAACAACAAAATCAAAACAAAACTACAAAATAAGAATGCCTACCATTACCACTTTTCTTCAACATTATACTGGATGTCCAAGCCAGTGCAGTAAGACAGGAAAATAAGGTATAAGGAAAGGAAGAAACCAAACTATCAGTATTTGCAGAAGACAGTTTTATACATCTACAAATTTTGACATAATCTACCAATAAACTATTGGCAATAATAAAGAGTTTATCAAGGTTGCAGGATACACAATAAAATACAAAAATCAATTGCCTTTCTATACACTAGCAACAAACAGAAAACACATTTTTATGTTATCCTTTATGATACCTGTTTATAATATTTTAATTGACTAAACAGAGCACACAGTTGCCATGTAGCTTTCATTGATAGAAGCTATGAAAAACATAGCTTCAAGAACTAACATGTCAAATACCTCACTAATAAAGTCATCAAGAACAAAAAGTATCTAATATAGAGCTTTTGGAAGTTAAAAGAGCAGGCCTAAGTGGGTACTCACCTCCACCATACATAACAGCGAACATGATAGAGGATAGCCATGACACTTCACTGGTGTTGGTATTAAATGTATCTTCAATTTCTTTGTAAAATACAGAAATAGATTTGCCAAATGCACAAGAGAATCCGATAGAAATGAAAGCTCCGATTGCCACTGCCCACCCCCAGCCACCATCTGGGGGTGCATATTCCGCTGGACCTTCATTTGATGGTGACATTGTAAGTAAAGATGAATTCCAAAATGTAGTTCAAATCCAAATATCTGAAGGATATAAAATTAAAATAGTACAAATCAAATAGGTCAATAACAAAGCACTCCCACAAAACCCCTAACACTATGTTACAAATACCTGAATTGTTTCTCAGTGTTACTTGTCTTCCATCAATATAGTTGAAAAACAGCCTGAGAGTCATGGTATTGTCCATAACTTTTAGAGGCTTCAAGTTAAAAACTCTCCAACACTTGAACTGTACAATAAAATTCTTTTCAAGGAATGTAGTATTTTTTCTTCAAATTCATAAGCATACTTGTTTCAATAATTGATAACAGTAATTTTCTATAATACCAAAGATAATCAAATGACTCATTTGACTTAACTGCTTGCAAAAGTCACATGATACACACCTTATAAGTTTCACAATTTAGTATTTCCCTTATAATTTCTCTCCTTTCCCAAAATATATACTGCAACACTTATCTAGTTTTTACTTCCTCTAGTATTTATAGGTTAATTTTAAAATGTTAGGAAGCATATAGTGACATCCATAACACACTGGACATATAGCAATTTACAAAATAAAAGATTACTCCAAATATAAGATTCTCATCTAATGGACTGAAAAGTTATCTCAATAACGTTTGCCTTTCATCTAGCTGCTTGGATTTAAGGTACTTTTTTTCTGTGACTAGAAAGATTCCTAAATAATAGCTGACCAGTATAGTTAAAATCTTTAAAATGAACCAGCAGAACCTGGTAGATTTAAATCAAAGATTCCCCTTTTCTTCTTAAGTCACCCAGTACCAGTGAAGAGCAGAGTTAGAAAAGAAAATATATTGTAAGATTACGAATTAGGAGCAGGTGGGAGAGGTTGGGAACAGGTTTACTAGTCTACTTTACAGAAATTACCCTTTCCTCTTTGATTTACTTAAGCCAACTTCAATTTTATGTCCAAATTAACCTTGCACCACTATGTTGCCATGATCATTTCTGGCCACCTGGAGTGGTGTATTACATTATTAACACTGTATATGTCAAACAATCTCATTTTTTACTATTATACTGCTTAGCGTATAAATCCTAGCTTCCTATCCATAGAAGGCAACTTTTAAATAGCTCACCTGCTAACCAATCTAAACACTTCAAATATAAATGAGAAAGTGATCTTGTAGTAATAGAAAGAAAACTCTAAAAGTTTACAAAACTCTTAGGGTTTGCACAACTTTTGTTAGATTTATTTCAAGGTATTTTTTCTTAGTCTTGTAAATGGGTAATTTAAAAAAATCATTTTCTGTTAGTTGCTGGTGAGTAGACACAATTAATTTGTTTAAATAACAGCTTTAGTGATATGTAATTCACCTATCATAAAATTCACTCTTTTAAAGTATACACCTCAATGGCTTTTAGTATAGTCACACAATTGTATTAATACAACTATGACCATTATCTAATTTCAGTGCATTTTAATCACTACAAAAAGAAACCCCATACCGATTAGCAGTTACCCCATTTCTCCCTCACCCCAGCCTCTGGCAACCACCTATTTACTTTCCATTTCTGTGAATTTGCTAGTCTGGACATTTCATATAAATGGAATCATATAATATGTAATCTTTTGTGACTGACTTCTTTTACTTAGTATAATGTTTTCAGGATTCATCCATGTTGTGGCATATATTAGCATTCCTTTTTATTGCTGAATAATACTCACTTTATAGATAACACCACATTTTGGTTACCTTTTCATCACTTGATGGGCATTTGAGTTCTCTCTACTTTTGTCCTATTATGAATAATGCCACTAAATTTGTGTATGAGTTTTTCTGTGGACATAAGTTTCCAATTCTCTTGTGCATATACCCAGCAGTAGAAATGCGGGATCATATGGTAACTCTGTCAAACATTTTGAGGAACTGCCAAACTGTTTTCCAAAGTGGCTGCACCATTTTACAACTCCACCAGCAACGGATGAGGGTTCCAATTTTTCTCCATCCTTGTCAACATTTGTTAATCTTTTTTATGTTTAATCATTCTAGTTTGTATGAAGTGGTAACATATTGTTATTTTGATTCTCATTTCTCTGATCACTAATGATGGTGAGCATCTTTTTTGTGTGCTTAGTGGTCATTTTCAGGTTTAGTATCCCCAATCCAAAAATCCAAAATCTGAAATGCTCTAAAAATCCAAAACTTTGAATGCCGACATGATGCCATAAGTGAAAAATTTCACCCTGGACCCCAAGTGATGGGTCGCACTCAAACTGTGCACAGTTTATTCAGTATCTCCAAAGGAAAAAAGACCCTGCTAGCACTTCAGCTGCAATATATCTTTTCCATGCATGCTCAGGCTCCCCCACACAAGCACATCCACAAAGAGTAATAAAGTGGCACGCGTGCAGGCCAACAGCAAGTTCCCCGTGATGCCCCACATGGGGCCAAGACCTACATGCATTACTCATTGCATGTTTTTGCTTATTCTCTGCTCTATGGTATAAAGATAATGTTGAAAATGTCCAAAAGGCCTGCAGATACCCCTACGCGTAACAGTAATAAGAAAAAGAGGAAGCATTTATGTTTATCTATAGCAAAGAAAGTCAAGCTGGTGCAGAAATTGAACAGCGGTGTGTGAAACATGTTACAAAAAGTACGCTGTTGGAACGACACCATATATAGCCTGAAGAAACAGAAGGATAAACTGTTGAAGTTCCATGTTGAAAGTGATGAATAGAAGTTAATGAGAAATAGAAAAACACTGCATAAAGCTAGAAATGAAGACCTCAGTAGTGTATTAAAAGAGTAGATCTGTCAGCATCACAGTGAACACATGCCAATTAATCATTTGCTGATCACGAAACAAGCAAAGATCATGATGAACTGAAAATTGAAGGGAATTGTGAATATTCAACAGGCTAGTTGCTGAAATTTAAGAAGAGACATTGCATTAAATTTTAAAGATTTGTAGTGATAAAGTATCTGCTGATCACAAACTAGTGGAGAAATTCATTGATGAGTTTGCTAAGGTGATCATTAATGAAAATGTGACACCAGAAAAAGTCCATAATGCTGATGAAACATCACTGTTTTGGTGTTATTGCCCAGAAAGACCCTGACTGCAGCTGAGAGATAGCCCTTACAGGAATTAAGGGTGCCAAGGACAGGATAACTGTGCTGGGATGTAGTAGGCACACGTAAGTACAAACTTGCTGTGATGGGTAAAACCTTGCATCCTAGCTGTTTTCAAGGAGCGAATATTTTCCAGTCCTATATCATGCTAACAAAAAGGCATGGATCACCAGAGACATCTTTTCTGATTGGTTTCACAAACATTTTATACCAGCAGCTTGTGCTCACTGCAGGGAAGCTGGACTGTATGAAGACTGCAAGATTTTCTTATTCCTTGACAACTGTTCTGCTCATCTTCCAGCTGAAATTCTCATAAAAAATGTTTATGCCATGTACTTTCCCACAAATTTAACTTCATTAACTCGGTCAGGTGACCACGGCATCCTTGGATCACGATTGACAACTGTGTAGAAATGTGACTGGACAAAAAGGGTATAATCTAATACTAACAGACTGAGTAGGGAAACCCAGCAAGGCCTGTCTGTTCAGATTCTTCTTGGACTCTTTGTGCGGCACGCTTTCCTCCAGGGAAAGGGCAGGACCCCTTCTGAAAGGAAGGTCTATTACCCATAATTAGAAAGGCAGGGGAAGATGGGACTGGTGAAAGGAGAGAAGAAGGTCAGAGACAGAGATTCTGTTTTCTGAGGCCTGCTTTGAAGGCCCTAAAGTGCCCTAACAATATAACAGAAGACTAACAAGAGCTAAGAGTTATGAGCCAGGAACCATGGCCAAAAACATGCATAGTATCACACCCTTCATTAGGTTTGGGATGTTTTTCATCTATTCCTAGTCATTGAGTGTTTTTTAAATCAGGAAAGGGTGTTGGATTTTGTCAAATGTTTTGTGTGTCTATTAAGATGATCATGTGGTTTTGGCCTATGTTCTATTAATACGGTTTGGTACATTGATTTTTCATGTTGAAACATATAAATTCCTTGCATTCCTGAGATAAATCCCAGTTTGTCATGGTGTATAACTCATTTTATATGTTTCTGGATTCAATTCGATTGTATTTTGTTGAGGATTTTTGCATCTATGTAAGAGATATGGGTCTGTAGTTTCTTTTTCTTGTGTTATCTTTGATTATGAATCAGGGTAATACTGCATTAGAACAAGTTGGGAAGTATTCCCGGCTCTTCTTTTTTTTGAAAGAGCTTGTGAAGGATTGGTATTAATTCTTCTTTAAATGTTTTTTAGAATTCACCAGGGCAGGCGTCTGGGCTTACAGTTTCTTTGTGGATAGGTTTTTAATGATTACTTCAATATCTTTACTTGCTATAGGTATGTTCAAATTGTCTATATCTACTCGTGTCAGTTTGGTAGTGCCTTTCTGGAAATGTTTCAATTTCATCTAGATTATCTAATTTGTTGTAATACAAATGTTGATAATATCTCCTTATGACCCTTTTTATTTCTGTAAGCTCAGTAGTAATGTATAACGAATTTAACCGACTGTACAGTTATAGGAAACACCCTCACTTCTGACATCAAGTTTGCAAGTTTGAGAGGGTTCCCAAAACCACCTTCAGGTTTGATAATTCAATAGAGGGACTCATAGATCTCACTGAAAGCTATTACACTTCTGATTACAGGGAAAGGATACAGGTTAAAATTATCCAAAGAAAGAAAACATATAGGGCAAAGTCTGGGAGAGGTCCAAATGCAGAGCTTCTGATCACCCTATCCCCGTGGAGTCACAGACAGCATTACTTCCTCCCAGCCACAATGTGTGACAATACACACAGGGTATTGTGAGCCAGGGAAGCTCACCTGAACCTTTGGTGTCCAGAGTTTTTATTAGAGCTAGATCACATAGTGTCCACATGGCTGACCTTTACTCTCCAGCCCTTCCTGGAGGACGGGCTAATAATACCCTTAGCCGATAGTTCCTGTGGAGATCAGAAATGATACATGGTCAAAGT